TATAAAAGGTGCTTAATCTTTTATGGAGGTCAAACCCGTTAAAAATATGGCCTTCTGGAAGCCTTTCCCCCAGGATAATATGAACATGGCACATACCCACATATGCCATTTAAGAAAATTCAGTATCAATAATTCTTGATAAACTCATTCATGGATTGATTGGGCTTCTACCCTCGCTTAACTTCCTAGGGGTCTTTTGCTGTTTTAGAATTATTTTAATGTTTAGTATTTTAGCTTGTTTTTAACCACTTGGTATTTTTGTGTACTTATATTTAACCACTATTAAAAAGTCTCATTGTTTTCTTTTTAAATGCTACTTTGATTCGATTTGTTCTTGTGGAATCACATTAAGACTGGTAATCATTTCCAACTCCAGGTTACTGCCCCTCATTGCTTGAGGAATTGAGCTCCTGGCTTACTGTACTTTCTCTCATACTACCTCTGTCATAATTCTTAGTGATTTCAGTACCCTTGTTTCTCCTCCACACCACCACAGCCACTCACTCCCATACATACCACAGATCTTGTCATTACAAATTACTACTGCCCTTCTTTATCTCAGTATAAGACATCCTATTCACCAACCACCAACCATCCTCTGTCTCACATTCTTGGAGACAGAGAACCCAATCATTCTTTAAGCCTAGCAAGCCCTACAAGACGTTAATCCTAACACCTTTTCAAAATCCCTAACCACCTTCCATGTCTTCATTTTCCTCTCTTTCAAACTTAAATCTCATGGCAGTCAAAATTGTTGCTATGTATACACCCTCAATTCTCTTCCCCCCTGTTACTTTGTCAGACTCACTTGGCTAAACCTTAATTCTGATGTAAACCAAGCTTCCACTTTTCTATGGCTGCAGCCATGAACATGACCAGAGAAAAATACAGAGGCATGCTGGACATTTCACTTTACATCACAATCAGTAACCTCAAGTGGACCCTTAATGTTGCTTGGTAAATATACCATATATCCCTAGTCTATCATTCTCCCCCTCACCTGTATGACTATTTATTTTCATAGCTTCTCTTCTATCTTCAAATGTTTAGAACATCTTCATCTGTTCTTTCAGACGATGACCTTGTTTCCTATTTTATAAGAAATTTGAAACAAACAGAAGACAACTTCCATATACTCCAGCCACCACATCTACCCTCATCCTACCCTCCAACCCCATCTGTTCTCGTATCTTCTATCTTCCCTTTGGTTACCATGGGATCTATGGTCCTAGCTAGGGCCAACTCCTCCATTATGTAATAGCTCCATTTCTCTTTGCCTAATCAAGGATATTGCTTTAGTAATTCTCTGTCTTTCCTGCATCAGATTTTTTTCCATCTGCTGTATTATTCTTTCAGCATACAAAATATTATGACTTATTTTAAAAACAAGAAAACTCTTGATCTCACATCTTTCTTTAGCTATTGCTTTATTTCTTTCCTTCACTTTCCAGCAGGATGTGTTGAAAGAGTTCCTCTCCTTCCAATTTCTCTTCAACAGTTGCAATAGACTTTTGCCCCAGTATTTTACCCAAATTCCTGTTATCCAGGTCAACAATGATCTCCTTTTTGCTGAATCCAATGGTCAGTTTTCAGTCCTCATCTTGATTTAGTAGCAACATATAAAATAGTTGATCACATTCTCCTCTTTGAAATACTTTAATCACTTAGCTTCCGGGATACTTCATCTCTGGGTTTTCCTCCGACCTCATTAACTACTCTCTCAGTTCTCTTGACTGATTCCTTCTTATCTCTCCAACCCCTAAATATAGGTTCGGTCCTTGGATATTCCTTTTCCTAAACTTACTCCCTTAGTGACTTGATTTAGTTTTACAGCTTTGCCTAGACCTCTTCCCTGAACTATAGACTCATGTATCCAACTGCCCGCTCAGCATCTTCACTTAGATGTCTAATAGGCTGCAGGTTTAACACATTCAGAACTGAGTTCTTAGTGTTCCTTCCTCAGATCTCTCACAGTCTTCCCCACTTCAACAAATAACAGATCTATTCTACTAGTTGCTTGGGCCAAGGAGTTGTCCTTGACTCCTCTCCTCCTCTCATACCCCACATCTATCTATCACCAAATTCTGCTGGCTCTACTTTAAAAATATATCCAGAACCTGGTGACCGTTTCTTACCATCTCTTCTTCTCCCACTTTGGTTCAGCCTTCATAATCTCTTACATTAGTCTCCTTGCTGATTTTTCTTTTTGTACTCTTGATCTTTGCTAGTGAATGTTCAATACAACAGCTAGGTTGATCCCATTAAAATAAAAATCACATCGGGCTACTCTCCCATGGCTTTCATTTCACTCAGAGTAAATGCCAGAGTCTTTCCAATGGCCTGCCAGATGCTTTGTACTCTCTTCATCTCTTTGCTCACCTTCTTTTATAATCACTCACTTTCTCTCCACTTCACCACAGTAGCTTTCCTGTTGTTCCTTGAATATTGACCATCAGTGAACTAAAATAGATTATGCTTTCTGGGGTATAAGCCTTTCAGGGATATGTATCTCTTTTTGATTAGAAATAAAATTAGTAAACTTGTGGTAAATATTCAATAAGTATTCATGAAATGAATAGAAGTAAGAATATGGCAGGATGTTTATGAAACAAAGGTAAGTTATATTACAGTAAATGTCAGATTGGAGCTCTAATACTCATAGTTGACCCCACATGAGCTGACTATGAAAAGCTGTTTGTAGAAAAGTATTTGTAGATTTTTGTTCAAGTATGATGGAATATATCATTTCTGTATTTTGAACTGATAAAATACAGTAAAAAGTAAATACCAAGTTGCTTTACTCAAGAGATATGAAGAATCTTGAGTTGAAATTGATATGAGAGCCACAGAGATTGTTAAAGGGTTAGAAAGTAAGACCTTTTAAGATAGACTAAAATCAGCTCAAAAGACCAACCTAGAATTGGTAGGGAAAAACAAAGGTAGTAAAGTACAGATTGATTTATTTTCATGTTCCTCAGGAATTATGGGAGTTTGTTATGCTAGTAGGTGTGAGGTTTTTAGTTGTTGTTTTTTGCTGTTTTTTAAAGTGGTAGCTGAAATTGTCATGTTAAATCTTTAAAAATGTGTGTTTTTAGAGATAAATGTGAGTTTAGACCAATGCAGTGAATTGCTTGGAGTTTCAAATTATGGTTTAATCATTTAACAAAATTATTACATTTAAAATGTCTATATTTGATAAATAAGGCTATTTTTGGAATCGCTACGTTTTATTTTTGCAATTCTGCTGTTTATGATTTTTTAGAAAATTCAATTTATTTGAAGGTAACTTAAGCATGCCTGTTTTAAATCACTTAAACCTATTTTTGTTATGTAGGTCTTCCTGTGTTTTCAGAAAGTCGCTGCTGAAATCCTTGGAATCAAATTAAACAAAGCAGAAATAGAACAGTCACAGGTGATTATCTTGAACTTATATTTAAAAATTTAATGGATTTATTACAAGACATTAATTTCCACCCATGAATCCTATTCCATTTATGCATTCTATGTACATATCCCTAAAAGATGTGTGTATGTATGATCAATCTTTATTGTAGAAGTTGAAGAATGTTAACTTTTTGCCAAATTATGATACCTTTGAAACCTCATTTTGTCCCTTTTGTTGGAAAAAAGATACTAATATAATAAACATTTCATTAGTGGTTAATTAATGGGTTAAGGTACTGACCATATTTGTTTTGTACTTCTTTATGTAAGTTCTTTCAGAGCTTAATCATCCTCGACTGTAATATTAGTTCTTAATGATATTTTATTGTTTAATTTAATAATATTGTTAATTATTGTGGATTTCTGAGTTCTTTCACTATTCCTAGATAGTTCTGCAAGACTAAGAAATAAACATGCATACCAGCAATCAAGAACTTAAAAATACCAGTATAATTGCACACTAATTCATGTTTGATAGAATGAAAAATCAGAGCAAGAGCTTATAGTTTAAAGTTAAGTTTCAGAAGCAGTTTGGTTAGAAACAATAAACTAATTATATTTTCCCTCAATTTCCTCCACCCTATCCCCACCCCATGGAGCTAAAAAGATATAATTATCTTTTCCCATCTTTAAATTTTTCTTTAATTCTTCTGGAGTTAGTAGTTCTGTGTCTTGTTCTCATGGTTACTGTGTGCGTGTGTGTGTGTGTGTGTGTGTGTGTGTGTGTATTAAAGCAATTAAAGCTAATATCAGTTGAAAATTGTTATACTACCTGTTTCTAGGACTTGTTTAAAATATTTGGAACTCTGAAAATTTAATACTTTTAATTCTCATCATTCAGAGACATTTATTTCAGTATTTGCTATGGTCAGACACAGTGCTAAGATATTTTGTGCTGTTTAAATAACTCCCAAATACATAAAGGTTTTGGCCTAGGAGAATACAAGAAAGAGAAATCACCATGATCTGCTTGATCACACAGACCTCAGCAGACCCTGGAGGTCAAGTGATTCCTCTCCTTCTAACTTCTCTTTCTGAGCGATGTTTATTTTTGATTAATTAGAGAGTCTATGAATGATTATCAAGCAATCATAAACAATTTATTGATCATATATACTCAGTATATTGGTGGGTCTAAAGAAGATTTAAAGGACTTTAAAATGTAGTTCCTGACTTCAGTGAAGAAAATTAATGTATTATGTACCAGGACTGTGTTATCTCATTTACTCCTTATAATAACTTGGTGGGGCAGATGAAATGTCATCATTTTATGGTCAGGAAACTGAGACTTTGGAGAGGTTAAGTAACTTGATCACTTAGTCAGGGTTAGGCAGTAGTGGTGCTAGAATTTGAACCCACGTATTAGCATTTCCCCTCCAGGGAAAGTGTACTGGGCAGTTTGGAGTGAAGAGGAAGAAAAGGGCTGAAAGAGGACCTGGTATGAACAGTACTGGCTAGAAAAGCTTAGGTTGTATTTTGGGAACAGAAGAGCACTTTGGTTAAAATAAATGACCATTCATTGTTAGAGAATAAAGACAGTTTGAGAATGGATTATGGGGATTTATGAATGCCAAGTTGATGAATTTTATCTAACCTATGGACAGTGGGAAATCATTTTTAGGCAGGGAAATAAACAAAAGCAGTTTTTAGATAGGTTAATATAATGGGCTATTTTTGTGTGGAGTTGGATGGGAAGGAGATCGGGCAAGGAGACTGAGTTCCTGCTATCATGTGGTAAGGATCAGAGTCAAGATGGTAGGGAAAGGATTTAAGAGACATTTCTGAGAAGAATCAATAGGCCTTATGGAATGATTGGATAAGAGAGAGAAGGAAAAGTCTAAGATAACCCTGAGATTTCTTGCATGGAGGAATGGAGAAAGGGGAAACACAATGGTGGACTCTTCCTCAAGAGGAAGGAAGGTGTGTTGGTGCTTCACAGGTGAGCAAGCTGTCAGAAGGAAGAATTCCATGTGCTGCCTAAGCTGCGCAGCAGTGCTCAGATACAGGGAGACCTCCAAAGTGATGGAGTAACCAAAGTATTCTTGAAAGGCAGTATTTTGGAGAAGCTTTATTAGTATTGTCAGTTCCCTCTTGTCACAAAAGCCACAAAGTTACTATTTTGACTTTAGAGATGAAGTTAATATCCAGGCGTACTTTAACTAAAGAGATATTAGATGTGTTAACTACATAGTTCTTAACCATCGCTGCACACCCACCTTGTTTGTTGTGCTTTGAGGTTTAATTCTGTCTTGAGTTTGTTGGTGGAATTTACTTTGAAGTTGAATTCAAGCTACTAGAGCCCTCCTCCATTATGCTTGTCAGATTCCTTGTGTATAGCAGGAAGCCTTATTAGTTTTTGACCATTAAATTATGTATTTCACAATTGATATTTCTCACTGGAAACATTTTTGCAAGTTCATTTAAAACAGTAGAAAGTTTGGACAGTATATATATATTGCATGTTTTCTGTGTTTTTTATGACATTTGAAAAATTACTGAGGGGATTTGAGGTAATGTTTGAAAATACTTTATATTGTTTTATAGAGAAGGAGTTAAATGGCAGACCAGTCACCAGGCACGTTGAAATTGATGCTGTACTGTGGTAATTTAGTTTGTGACATAAATATTTATAATGAGGTTTCAGTCTTAGTTCCATTCCCTGATTATTTAAAGAGATTCCACTGTTTTATTTCTAATCTAGATTGTTCTTGTTTGGGAGTCATATAAAATGAGTTTTCAGCACATTTTGCGAGCTTTACAAGAAAGCAAAAGAAGAAGAGGGAGAAAAAAAGTGAATGTAGTTTATTAATACTGCAAACATATTTTGAGGGTCGACTTTATGCCACGGACCATACCAGAATCTAAAGATACAGAGATCCTGTCCTCAAGGAGCCGTCAGAATAAACGGGGCAGCCAAACATTTAAACAATTAGGTGTACTATAGATTCATTTTTCACACTCCTCAATTTAGTTAATAGTTTTATTTGCATTATTTATCTAGTCTCCTTTCTCCCCCCAACTATTGTAAAATTTGGGACTATTGTTACCAAGTGTTCTAGTTTCTCAGATTGTTCAGATGTTTTTTATTTGTTTTTTATTTAGAGAAAAAAAAATAAATTTATAACTGCTGTTCTCTAGGAAGTCCAGCATTCAGCTCTTTAATAATGCATTAGATAATCTATGAAGACAATGCAGAGTCCTGTATCATGTCTCTTTCAGTCTGAATTGCAAGGAGGTTTTGGCATATATGCTTGATGTTAAGAGGTCTTAATACCTTTCTAACCCTTGACATTTTTATTTGCCAGTTAATAAAGTGTGAATTTCTGTTTGGTTTGAACTAGGTATGCATTAGTTTCTTAAAAACAAAAATTTCTGTCATGTCTAAGATATTCACTAAACTTGCTAAAAATATGTACTTCTTATTGTCCCCTCAAATTATTTTCATATTATATATGAAAGTGTCTAACATAGGGCCTGGCATATAGTAGGCATGCTCAAGATTTTAGTTGAGTCTCGATTAGCATAAAACTGTACAAAAAAATCACCCATTTAACCCTTGATCCTAACGGCCCTCCCTACTTTTCAGCTTTACTGAATATTGACTTTTCTTAAGGACCCCTTAAGGAACTTAGTTTCTTCTTACCCAGATGTTAATGTTTTTATTATTTTCTCCAATATGTTTATGAAAACTGTACTGGAATTCTTTTCTTATCCTAAACACCACTTGTCTTCCTTGAAGAATATACTTACTCATTTCTTACATGCTACTCTAACCTTCAGATATTGAACATTGCTTAATGGGTTTCCATATCATATCCCGTTTTTCTTTTTTTCTATTCATCTTTTAAGTTTTTAAATAAAATTTCAAAACCAGATGGGACTTTAGAGATCATCTAGATAAAACTTGTTTTTATAGATTAGAACGTTATGAAAACTGAAGAGGTGAAATACCTTTCCCAAAGTTATGAATGTTCCTGGTAACATATAATGGCCCATTTATTATATGGAAGAAGAAGAGTAGCTTTTTTTTTTAAGCTCCTACTGTGTGCAACGAACTATGCTTTTTAACATGCTATATCCATGCTTTAACTGGTGATCTGTAATCTTGTTGTACTTTTAATGTATATCAATCAGAACATTCTTTAATGGTTTACTGTTTTCCATGCCAGATTCTTAGGCATCTCAAAAACAGAGATCATGTATTATTTACCTGAATGTCTACCATACCTAGGATAGTGACTGGTTTTGCATAAATGATAGTGACAAATGGTTTAGCTTTCAAGGTGTGTTACTCCATGGCAAACTATGGCTTTTGAAGTGATAAATAAGTTACTACTATCTGGATTAAGATATAAGTGCATGATTGACCAAATTTATCTTTTTAGTGTCTTTCCAAGAGTCCATCTATACTCCTTGCACCTTTTTGCTCCAACCCCTAAGTTTCTTTCTTGCTTATAGTCTGGATAGCTACCACTTCCATTTCCAGTATCCACTTGCACGTGCTCTAACAAAATCAGGGGTAAGCTGGTATTTACCCACACAACTCCTTTCTTCTATGGCCACTTCATTATTTTTACTCCATTGACTAATAGCAGAGAATAATTAAATGTGCTTTATGGTGCCAAAAATAAACATTGGTGTTTTGTAGGTAACATTTTCTCTGAAAACTTGAATAAGTGGCTCATAAACAAGCCAATTACAGTGAAACCACCTACCATGAAGTTTATGACATGGAAATTATGTTTTTCTACTCATAGAAAGGTTTAAATCTGTAGAGCTTTAGGTATGATGAGTTCCAGTTCAGAAACATTGTACAAAGCTTTATGTTGAACAGCCAAGACCCCTGAGAAAGATGCTGCCTTATTAATTCTTCATTAATTTAATTAAAATTAATAATGAAAATCCAAGTCATTTATGTTAGTCAGTACTTTGGCCAAAATGTCTTGAGCACCAGATCAGTAACCTGGTTGTGTTTATAGGATAGGGTTTAAACCAACATTTTGTTGGATTAATGAGTTGCTTACTGATTATGAAAATCCCTTCTCTTCATTGTAACCCATAATTTGGCATGAAACAATTAGGTTTGGGGAGGTCAGATAGTGGTGTACAATATTTCACTGATGTACCCCTCTCATACCTCATTTGGCAGTTGGTAATGCTTCTGTTGATAGCATCAGGCTGAGTGCCTAGTAAATCATGAGTCTTGTCCAAAAGTTAATACTGCTTGCTAGAGAACTTAAGCAGAAGCCACCTAAGGCTAATTAATGTACGTTAGCACCCTCTTGATTTACTCTCAATTGTTTATTGAATCTTTATTTATGAATGTCATCACAAACAGCAGCCCATATCAAGATGCTTTTCTATACATGCTAGTAAATTAATAGATGCTATTATGAAGGGCAGGTTTCTAAAATAAGATATTTACAATCATATGGAAAAACAAAGGTAGTTTCAAATCTAAAAACATTGGGCAGCATGTTATGTCTATATACATATTTGTCCCATGTGGTCTTTTCATCCTAAGGGTTATAGCCATCAAAAATATAACAATGTAGTAACAAATAATTCTTTAGCAAAACTCTTAGATATTTGAAAGCAACAGCTGTTGTGGTTAAATATTATATTTCATGAATTTTTTTACATGACCTACAGCTACATTTTAAATTTGTCTATTTCTATATGGAATTTGGAAGCATGGAGGTTAGGGTTAGGAGGAATGGGGGAGTGATCATAGAAAGGAAGTCCTGGATAAGTAATAAATATTATTAAATATAAAAATTATAAATAGTATATGGCATTCCTCTCCTCACCTTCAAAAATAATTAATTACTCCTCCCTCTATGTTCCCACAGCATATTATAAATCCACTAGTAAAGTGCTTAACTTATGTGATAATTAGTTCTATATGTGTTTCTCATTCCATTAGACCCTATGTAATTGACCCGTACATTCCCGGTATGGAGTGATGGGCACTTGGTAGATCCTCAGTAAAGTTTGTCAAAGGAATGAATATTTTTACAAAGGAATTAATACTTTTATAAATTGAATTAATACTTTTTCTATACTTTAGCATAGAAAAACCTCATAATTCTTCATAGTTCTCTTAAAGACTGGGCATTATGCATGTTATATAGAATTGTTACCAAAAATGGAACTCACAGTGTGGGAAGCTCAGTGGACCTATCTATTTCAATAATTAAATAGAATTGTAAAGAATAATGTTTCTTGGGTCTCTGTTCGTTTTCTTTCCTTTTTTATGCATTCTGCTGTTTCTTTGGTGACATGTTTAAATTTATATGTTAATTTTCTTTTTCTACTTTGGTGTTCTCTTCTATTTTCAGTCATTGAACATACTTTCTGTTTTGTCTTTCTTTTTTATTTTCTTTTTTCTTCTTTGTTTTGTTTATGTTGTACGAAATTGACAGCATATTGTCAGGGCAGAAATAGTGAAGTATCCGGAAGAAGATAATCAACATACCAGCTCTGCTCAGAGCAGAATCTGTTCAGTACAGTAGTGCAGGTATTAATGGATAAATTATTATAATTTTGTGGGAGGGAGAACTAGTGAATGCTATCTTGTTCTTTATTCCTTATGAATAAGGAAGTTCAGATTATTATACATTATTGGAAATTAATACTGCATAAGTCCTGTTTTAGAACTGAAAAATTGGTCCTTTGCCAGGAGACTTATGAATTATACAAGAAATTGGGAACAAATTAAAATAACATTTCAGTTACTTTCAAACATATTTGTCTTTATGGTTGTGTTTATTACACATGCAGTGAAGTGGAGAATTGAGACAGTTATTTCATTATTTATTCCTTGCCATTTTTTGAAATAGCTTGGTAATTGAAAGAGTATTTTTAAAATTTGCCTTGAATTACCCTTCTTTGTCTGCTTGTGTGTGCAGACTTAGTAAAAGAGTTGAAAACAGTAAAGGATTTGTTTTAATTTAAATTATTACTTAGAGATGAGTATTAGGACATACTGCTAAATTCATCGGTTCAGATTTTCCTTGAAGTGTGTATTAGAGGGAAGGAGGGAAGAGTTAAAATTATCTTTTGGTTTAAATTATTTTAAAAACATGAATATGAGGTAATTTTGAAAATTTCTCATTATATCATACTTTGTTAAGAGTTGTTATTCATAACCCAATAGTAAACTATTTGGAAATAAGTTAGGAATTTGGGAGGAAAGTTTTAAAAATTGGAAAGTTTTAAAAATGGGTTGCTCAAAACATTTCTGCTTTACATGCTTTATATGTGAGTCCTCTTTAACATTTATACCTCTTCTCACTAACTCACAAACTGCTATAAACAGTCCAGGAAAAGTTATGCCTAAGTATAATGACTTATGGAAATATTAATAAATAATGACATTACTTTCAAACAATGAGGTCTTGTCTATGAATTCAAGTATGTGTAAATGATTAATTTTAATTCCTTTGCTTTAAATTATAATCCGGGTTTGATTTTTCATATTGATTTGTCACTTTTTTATGAGACTTGTGATAACCTCAAGTTAATGTCATAAAACCAGGGAAGACTTAATAACAGGGTTGCTATTGCCTCCTTTATTAAAAAAAAAATCCAACTCTCCATTAGTTTGTTCTAGTTGATTCTTTTAATATCAGTTCCTGCTTCATTTATGATATCTATCATCAGGAGTTCACCAAAGTTCAGAAAATAAAAATATACTTTGAGGAGCTCTTTCTAAATGTTCTGATGTCCTGATAATAACTCTGTTTTCTTTTATGACAGAGGGTGGTGAAGGCAGATATTGTAAACTACAACCAGGAACCTCTGTCAAGAACTGTTAACCCTCCTAGAAGCTCTATGTGTGCAGTTCAGTGAGCACATTTTTCTTTTGTGTTGATAGTTCTGGCTGCCCCTCACCTCTGGGTGGGCCTGAGGACTTCTAGGAACTTGTTTTATCAGTGACCATCTCTACTTCGGTTAACACTTTCCTCCCAGCTCGCTTCATCATTAAGTGTTGCCTCACAGCCGCAGCTCCTTGGATTCAAAAGAATTCAACTTCGGGACCACACACTTTGAATTCAAAATCCAAAGCCCATTCTCTGGAATTAGATTGCTTCATTGAAAAAGAATGATGTTGCTTTCTGTATGTCCTCGCTTTGTTTTTCCCTGATGTAAATTTTTTTAACTAAATACGAAAACTCTCTAAGTCTTTGATCGCCAGCCGGGATTTTGCCACAGCACAGTTTCATGCTTTTATCTGAACTGGCATGTGTTGAAGTATGCTCTAGAGTGCAAACATGAAGCAAGTAACGTATTTTACCTACAGATACATAAGAAGGCATTCTTTTGCTGCCTATTGTAAGTGAAGATATATAAAGCTGTATCTAACTGAAAATGCTTGAAATAAGGCTGTAACAGAAATATTTTTTCATTTTTTAAAAAGGGGCCTAAATTGTTTATATTGTAGTTTGTAACTCACAAAGTAGTGAGTATTTGATATTGTATTTTTATTACTGTATCATGTTCATTATGTTTAATAGGTTAGATGGCTGTATGATTTTGATAAATGTTCAGCTGATGCTCCACATGGAATTTCTCTTGCAAACCACATAAGCATACTCCCAGAATGAGTTTTGACACACTGTTGGATCATTATGGGTCAGACTGTACCTGATGTTCAGATGTTTTTCTCTCACAAATAAATTTATTTAAATTACTGTTTTAGGGAATTTCCTTTCAGCCATCTTTTTTATTACAGAAAAAAAAGTATTAGACACAAATCGTGTTTGGATACAAAGTGATCCTATGAAGTTTAATGTACAGTCCGCCACTTAGAATTGTTAGGTTATTTTCTTGGAACGATTAAAATCCAGACTGCATAGCCTGGCATTTCAGTTGCATGCTCCCTTTCTATCTTTTCTCATGCCACTCCACTGTGCACTCCTTACCCCTGTGCAGGCAGAGCTAGGGGCTCATTCCTATTCGCTTTGTGATGCCCTGTTTTCTTTGCTCCGCAGATTCCTCTGCTGGGAATTCCTCCCCCATCTCCAAGTGTCTACCTCCTGCCAGCCAGCCTTTAGGCATCTTGAGGGCAGGGCTTTGTTTGTCTTGGTCATAGGTGTGTTTTTATTTGTGCTAAGGCACAGTGCCTGGCACGATGGGTGCTCTGTATTTGCTACATTGAAGCAGTAACTAATTCCACGCCCTCCACAAAGCCAGCCCTCATCTCCACAGCTGAAAGTTTCACGTTAGTACCTCTTAGATGGCCACTACCCCTTCCTGCCTTGAATCACAGCTATTTGTGTCCCTCTCTTTTGTTTCTAAGCATGAGCTCATTGAAGGGCAGCTGTGGGTCTCTCCTCTCTCACACGTCTCAGAGTGGCTAGCAGGGTGCCTTTCTCGTAAGAGATTTGCCACAAGTATGTGTAGAAATTTTGGACACTTAATCTTAGAGCTGAAAGGGATTTTTGGGAAACTTATTTTATAGCCTTGTGTGGCTAAGGAAACTGAAGTGTGGAGAAAAGAAGCAATTTGCCAGAGGTCCTGGAATCACAAAGCTAGAACTGATCTTCTGTCTCTAGGTCCAGAGATTTTAAAAATTCAAAAAAAATTTAATGAAGAAATGATTTTTAAAATTGTAGCTGTACTCATTAGGCAGTGGGTCCAACCTCTCTACTTTGATTTTTATATTTTTCATTTAATAGCAATTTAGCAGCCATTTTAGCCCTCTAGATGATAAACCCTTCAAGCTAGTACTATTTATCCTTCCTTTCAACATCTTTCTTATATATGCTGGCCAGTTGGCTAGGACCTTTAGGAGAATATAAACTTGAATAAATGATATCTCGACCCTCAAGGATGTTACAGTCGAGTGGTAGAGATGTTTGTAGGTGGTGGTGCTATTTTAAAAGGTGTGATTGATTGAAGCCTACTATTAAACTAAACTTGCCCAAGGTTTACATTCGGTAAGGGGTGAGGCCATGCTCTTTCTGGTCATTTTGTGTTGTTTTTACATCTATGTGAAAACTTGAGGATTTTCACAAATTTTTTTTTCCCCCAGTACAATTATTGTGGTACTTTAAGGTGCGAATTAACATATACATATGATTGTACAAGCTGAGTGCTACAGGCATTCAGAGGAGGCAGAGAGAAATTGCAAAAGGTCTGTGAGATGAAAAATTCTTTAGTTGTATGTTTATAAAGTTAGAGCACTAAATGAGACTGAGTAGGGGGCAGGGAAGAAAATGACCTTTGTAGGTTTGTTCTGTCCTGGACATTTCTAGGCACTCGTCACATAAGCTGTTTTATTTTCACACTGATCCGTGAGAGGGAAATCATTGTCCCCTCTGACAGGAGAAACTGAAGCTAAGAGTAAGTTGTTATACACAGTCTCTCCTTGACTAAGTGGTAGAGCCAGGAGCCACACAAAATGTTTCTGAGATAGAATGGACTAGACCGACATCAGTTTTAGGCTGCCTTTCATTTGTGAAGATCACACAACTGACGTCCTTCCCGGGAAGGAAGTGGTGGTGAGCCTGTGCTGGGCCATGTACCCTCTCATAGCAGCTACCTTGGCTAGCTGCATGTGTCCACAGGGGCTGGCAGTAAGCTTTCCCTCTGATAACTGAAGTCAAGGCAAAAGTTGCCCCCACCCTGCACCCGCTTCCTGCCTTTATCGGTTTTATGTCTTTCCCGGCTAAGCATGACCAGTCATTGAGAGTCTTTTAGCTCAAGGCAGGCAGGCACAATGAACATGCAATACAGCATATGGCCAAAGCAGATTTCTGAATTCCATATTGCAATTTTCCCCATACCTCGGGTTTTATTTTTAAAACAAAAACGTAGGATTCATGCTTATTTTACTTTGACTGTTACCTCTCCTGTCTACAGTTTTTAATTTAAAAAATTATAAGTCTTTCCATCTAGTTTTAGGCACTTTGTCTCCTGAAGACATATGCTATAGAGTTTCAAACACATTGTGGTCACTTCTGCTGCTTATTGAGCTTTTGAAAAACACAAAAGTCTTCAAGCAGAACTGGTTATTGGACACTGCCTTTCAAGTGCACCCTCTGTTATGTGCGGCCAACCGCTCTGGAGTGGTTTTTGGAGTGGCCCAAAGAACTCCTGTGACTGCTTTATTATTCCAGGAGGAGGTAAGCCAGGGCCCTTTAAAGTTGATCACTGAAACAACGTGATGGAGCATAAGAATTTTTTGTGTCATTTGAAAATAGAAAAGTTTTCTGGCCATAACCTGTGCTAGTGATTGCTATGATGTTGGATATCCTGAAGACAGCTGCAAGATTCAAAGGAAACTGAAATGCAGACCCATTAAGCATCAGGGAAGACATATCTATGAGTTGCTTCCCTAGCGTGCATGTCACTTCTCCCAACATCAGTTTCACGATTTCCTGAGGGAGCCTTCCTCCATTTTCAGCCACACCTACTTCCTTATGAGTGAATCCTCACTAATTTAAACCCATTAGGATATTAATCCACCCTCACAGCAGTGGTTGGCTTAGAAAGGAGCAGAGATCTCCCATCAGAGCTAATGAAACCAGCTGGGATGTTTGCTGAGGTTTCTGAAAAAGGAAAGGAAAAAAAACGTCTATCTTGGAAGTTTTCAGAAGACTCTTTGCCAACTGGACTAGCGTATGAAAGGATGTAGCCCCGCCGTGACACTGGCAGCCATCTCCGGGCCCCGAGGATGCGGCTGTCACCAAAGAAGCAGAGATAGAGAGTGGGGAAGGCCTCAGTCCTGTCACCGTGTTCGAGCCCAGAATCAAGCCATGCCTTGAACTGTTTAATAGCATGAGTCAATTTTCCTTTATCATTTAAGCTAGTGTTAGTTTGTCTTATTTTTTGGTTACTTCTTGCATAAGCAACCATTATTTACCAGGGCCTTTGCTTGGTACCAAAGACAGAGATGAACACGGTCTGTGTTTTCCCTCAAGATCTTAGTCTAGGCACATGTATAACTCACTAAAATGTAATCAGACTAATACATGCATCAATAAAACTGTGATACAATAAAAGGAGATGTGGCTTAGCAGTAAATGTGGAAAAACCCAGAAATTTCAGATAATAGGAACTAGGGTCAACAGTGTAACATAATTGCCCTCCAAAGGTAATACAATTTTAGGCTACATTAATGCAAAAGGAGTCCCTGTTCTTTGAGCAGGTGTGTGCCTATGGATCAGCTGGGGGATCTTGATCCAGTAGGTCTGGGGTGGGTCTGCAGTTGTGTATTTATAATAAGCTCCCAAATGACGCAGATGCTTCTGGCTTTTGGGTTACGTTTTGAATTGCAAAGGATTAGACCCTGCCTGCAGAATTTTTCCCTTTACAAATGCCCCTCTTTAAGAAGATAGTAAGGCACATTTTGATACAGTGAGGGGATTCAATGTCGTAGGAAACAGTTGAAAGAAGACAGTATGCTTAATACAGAAAAGAGAAGGCCTCAGAGAGACTCTGTTGGTAGTCTTCAAATAGATAAGAGGGTGTGTGCTTTAGAAAAAGATTCGTTTTACTACGAGACTTATAGAGTACTCCAGAAGTAGGATGGATAGGTAGAAGCTATGTGAAGATTTCAATTCAGCCTAAGAAAGAACCTCACAAACATGTGCTTTCCAAAGATGGAAGGGATTGCTTCGTGAGGTGTCTTTTTTTTTATTTATTTCAGCATATTACAGGGGTACAAATGTTCAGGTTACATGTATTGCCTTTGCCCCACTTGAGTCAGAGCCTCAAGCATGTCCATCTCCCAGACAGTGTGCATCGCACCTATTAGGTGTGAATATACCCACCCCCTCCTCCTCCCTCCCACCTGCCCAACACCTGATGAATGTTACTACTATATGCTTCATGAGGTGTTGTATCGTGTTGCAGGGTTGCAAATTTATATGCCTTCAGAGGCTAGATCGGTGAGTAAATGAGTAAATTAAGCACCTAAGACAATAGGATGCGTGACTGAGGAACTGGAGAGCATGTGCCCTGTCTGAAGCCATTCCAATCCAGTTTTAAAGTTCTATTGCCCGACTAACACCTGTGTACAAATAGGTTCACTCCTAGCCCATACAGAACCTTCGTGCCAATTAGAAAACATGGGTTTCTTTCCCGTGTCACTTTATTTCCCTCTTTTAGAAAATTGTCTTACTATTTTGTTAGAACAAGGCACTGTACTTCCTGGAAACATGGTAAATCTACAACACTGGCGATGTGAATGGATTCAGCCCTCCGGAGGCCAGATTACAACCCTTGTGACTGTAAACCTTAGTTTCTGGATCCAGAAAACTGTTGAAATTAGGAGAGAAAATTATTTGTCGAACTTTTTCGGAGAGCAAAATCACAGTGTTCAGGCGAGGCCCTGGCGATGGGGGCTGCAAAGGCACAGTGTCTGCCCTCAGGGGGCTTCCGGATGGGGGAGGAAGCAGACTGGTCGGCAGGGCATTGGGGCATCCTAAGTATCAGGAGAGAATCCGTTTGTAGTAAATGTGGTCAGAGCGGATCTGGAAGGGAAGATGCGGCTTGGACTGATAGCCTTGAGTGTGACAACTCTCCCAGTGTTCCATCCTCAGCCCTGGAAGTGAGCCTTTCAGTAGAGTGGGGTCCTTTGAGCTGAGCTCAGAACATTTCATTCTGGCTAGCCCTTCATCACATCGGTTTTCCCCGCTGGAGAGCTGAAAAC